AGCGATTCAGAGTGTATTGCTACTCAGCCACTCCTTGGATTTCTCCTTGAAGGTCACTGGGGGATTGGAGTCATTAAAGGGGCAAGGGGGAGGGGGAGAGGCAGTGTGGGGAGCATCAAGGTGAAGGGCAGCTAGGATGTATTCTGGCCGGTCTGTCAGGTCAATCTGTCGCTTTAATCCTCTTCTCACCCCACCCCCTCACTACCTTCCACTGAACCAAGTGTCCTGGGCCTTTAAGAGTTGGATGGGCTGGACTGAGGAAAGCGCTCACACCTCTCCCCCACTCTACTCCTTCCCCTCACTGTCAGTCACCGTGCCAGTCACAGCAGCAAAAGGAAGGACAAAGAAGCCTGCGGCAGCAGAGGAGAAAAGGAGCAGAGGACGCTTGCTGGACTGTCTCATCCTACTGTGGAGAGCATCGCAGAACTGGGAACATAATTTGCAGACGCAGGACTGTTCACCTGTCCACGGTAAGGGCAGGAAGCGCCAGCCTCTGCTCCCTACCCTGTCCTTGCCTGAGTCTCTAATTCTGATCTCCAGCTGCTGCTCCGTCCTGAGACATTGCAGCCTGGACCCCCGATTCCCACCCCAGTGGCCCGACCAGAATCCCTTTTTCATCTGGCCACTGTCTCATTTATCATCTATCAACTTTCCCCTGGCTGTGTCAATTACCCCTTGAGAAGAAGAGCCTCTTTGCTCTCCAGGGCCAGGAATGTTGTCCCTAGCTACTTCTTGGAGCTAAGCCTGCTCCAGTAAAGAAGAGGGTAAAATAAAAGAGGAAAACCTGTAGAGTTAGGTTTATTAGCAAATTGTTAATGGTGTTACCAAATGCAGATTAGCAAGACCTGTAGGTCTTCTTAGAAAGAGCCCAAATTTGAGTTTTTGCCTCACTTTGCTTGCTCAAAGATCAGAGGTTTCTTGGTTCCCCAGAGTGCTCTGCTGAGCAGAGTACTTGCCGCTGGCCCTGACTGCTGTTTTTAGCTGTGGAACTTCAGACCCCAACTTCTGATCTGTTGTAGGATAGAGTTTAGGGATTTGTAAAGATGAACCTGTATACCAGGTGTGCTTGGTGAAAATAAACACTCTTGAGCCCCATCTGATCTGGAAGATTCTGGATGAGGTTAAAGAATCTGTATTTTGGGGCCCGGCGCTGTGCACTAGCGGCTAAAGTCCTCGCCTTGAACTCACCAGGATCCCATATGGGCCCCGGTTCTAATCCCGGCAGCCCCCACTTCCCATCCAGCTCCCTGCTTTTTGCCTGGGAAAGCAGTCGAGGATGGCCCAAAGCCTTGGGACCCTGCACCCACGTGGGAGACCTGGTTACAAGTTCCTGGCTCCTGGCTCCGGATCGGTGCAGCACCAGCCATTGCAGTCACTTAGGGAGTAAACCATCAGATGGAAGATCTTCCTTTCTGTCTCTCCTCCTCTCTGTATATCTGACTTTGCAATAAAGATAAATAAATCTTTTTTTTAAAAAATCCGTATTTTTGAGACATTTTTTGGGGTCATTGATATTGTCAGGAACTCTGGATTAAGCATGCTATACAAAAGAGTCCAAACCAACATTCTGAGGGCTGTGATCTGTAACCTGTGACGAGGACCTTCCTGTGCTTTTATATAGATCAAATGAGACATAATTCTTCTCAGAAGCAAAGGAGTAGGCAAAATGATTTTTTTTTCCCTTCCTGCCCTTCAAAGAGGCTTTAGACACCTTGAGTCCTGCTGTAAATTCGTTGGTGCCTTTGGCAGTTCTGGTAGAATCCAGCTCTAGTTGGCATGAAGTCTCTTGAAAGTTGAGGACCAAATCCTAGTTTGCAGCCATGGGCCATTTCTCATCTTATTTTGTGTTATGTTCCCATCTGTGTTTAGAAGAAATTGTGTTCTCAAAGCTTTCTGTAAATGGATCTAGGAGTTAATTTTTAAGGCCGCATCTCTTCAACTCTTCCTCTTCATCCTCTGTGCCCTTATCAGTGTCCCCACCTCCCAGACACTTCAGTTCCTCTACCCCCACCACACCTGCATCAGCCGTGACAATGTCCATCCTACACCTAAGGAAGTGTCAAGGTCTGCATCCTGGATGCAGTTTCCTGGATAGTTTGTTTAGTCTGTTTCCTAGGATACAGGAGAAAGTGAGGCTGAGCAGAGGAATGTGCCATTTAGTGTGGAACCCAATTGTCCCTCCCAACTGCACCAGAGTCAGAATCATCAAAGGGAATGAAAATCAAAGCTTTGGGGCATTAATGAAGATGAAAGAGAAAAGATTCAGGAAGTGGTAATGTTGGAAAGGGAGAAGGAAAACAGAAAGAGGGGAGAAAAGAGGAAAGAGAGAGGATCAGGAGAGAAAAGAGTAAACTGGGGAGAAAGGAAAAGGACTAGTGAGGCACAGGATGAGGAAAGACTGCTTGGTGGGACTGAGGAGAATGGCAAAGGATGGAGGGCAGAGACGAAATGTTGACCTCTGTTCCTCATTCCTACCTTGGAGTCCTCCGGTGGCCTGGAGAAGGCCCTTCGGAGGAATAGAGAGTCCTTCTAAGATCTCTGAGCTGGTTGCATGGAGACCAGGGTTCTAGTTCTAGTTCTGCCACTCTTTCAGGGACTCTAGTGGTCCAATGAACCTTTCTGGTCCCCTAGTCCCCTTCTCTATAAAAAAATGATGAGGAGCAGCTCTGACACCTTGGGGCTCTCTGAGCTGAAACTGTTGCTCATGGCCACCTGACTTCTGCATGGATGCAAGCTTCAAATAGAAAGTCAGTGTTTCAATGACTTCTTGTGGTATGTAAAAGCAAACCAACAGAAAATTGAGATTCAGGAATGAGGGCAGGATTGGAAGAGCAAGATCAAGACTTGGAATTGGAAGAGTGTGACAAAGGAGGGAAAAATAATCTAACCTAGCTAGAGACAAAATGGTCTCAAAAATAGGAGTCTCCAGGCATGTGGGCTTCCTAGATGTTAGGACAGCGCTGTACAGGTAGAAGAGAAGGTAATTACGTTTTGTCTCAGGGCCAAGGACCATCTCTCATCCCAGGATCCCTGTCCTCTTGAGGAGGATGCCAAAGTTCAGAGAAAAGATAAGGTGTCAGTGAAGGAGATTACACGTTAGCCCCAGGCTGACCTTGCCCCTGCCAGGTTCTGAAAGGTCAAGAAATGCAAGAGGCCTGAACCTCCTCTAGGTTCTCAATGAGCCCCAAGTTCTTAGTCACCTCCATTAATGAGACCTGAGGCTCTATATAATATGTTCTCACATTTTTAGACTTCAGTGCAATGAGAGTTGAACCACAAGATGCTTTAATGGAACACCATCTGAATGTTTTCTTTATGCATTTTTAAAGGTTTTTGGTGTGTGTATGTGTGTGTATTTGTGTTCATCCTGTCAAACTTTTAAACTGTTTTCATCAAAAAGCCTAACAGATTTTGTTTAAATGTGGATCATTTGCTTGTGTGAAAGCATAGTGTTTTCTGCTTTGTGAGCTTTGTCAATTTCAGCATCATTGGTCAGGAATTATGCCTCCCTGTTTTCTTTTTCTTAACAGGTAACTAACTTTTTAAAATTTTTTAAACTTGAGTGGAAGAAAGACAGAAAGCACACTACCATCTTGCGGCTCATTCCCCAAATACCCTGAAAGAGGCTGGGGCTGGATCAGGCCAGAGTTGGGAGCTGGTAACTCAGTCTGGGTCTCCCATGTTGGTGACAGGAACCCAAGTATGAGAGCCATAATCACTGCCTCCCAGTGTCTGCATTTGTTGAAAGACAGAATGAGACTAGAGAATGAGAACCAGAGCCAGGGACTGAACCCAGGCTCTCCATTGCAGGACACAGATGTTTAGAGTTAAATCCCAGCTCCCTAGAGCCAAGTATCTCCATAGTGGCAGAGCTCAACAAAGTGGCAGCATGCCAAATCCTCCAGGATTTCTTGTCAGCCGCCAGGATGATTGAACCCGGTCCTGAATCAGACACCACGTATCTTTTTTTTTCTTTTTAAGATTTATTTATTTATTTTTATTACAAAGTCAGATATATAGGGAGGAGGAGAGACAGAGAGGAAGATCTTCCGTCCGAAGATTCACTCCCCAGTGACCGCAATGGCTGGTGCTGCGCCGATCCGAAGCCAGGATCCAGGAACCTCTTCCAGGTCTCCCACGTGGGTGCAGGATCCCAAAGGTTTGCATCATCCTAGACTGCTTTCCTAGGCCACAAGCAGGGAGCTGGATGGGAAGTGGGGCTGCCGGGATTAGAACCGGCGCCCATATAGGGTCCTGGTGCACTCAAGGCCAGGACTTTAGCCACTAGGCCATGCTGCTGGGCCCTACCACGTATCTTTTTTAGTAGGTGGAATGAACTTGAAAATTCAGTTCTGAGATTTGTTGTTATGTAATCAGGCCATTAAAACTATGAGAACGGTTGAGAAAAGAAGTCTAAAATACATCCTGCTCTGTGCAAACAGGAGACAATGAAGTGCTGTGGAAGAGACCAAAGAAACACTGTGCCCTACTTTGGGGGGCCAGACAGTCCGCCTGGGGGAATGGAGAAAGCTCCTACACTAGGGAAGCTGGGGTGACTCCAACTGGAGATGAGAACGTTGGGGGGAGGAGATACAGGTTCTGAACAGCGTGGCCAGCTAGATGGCAGCTCCTAACAATGAGGAGGATGGCAGAGAGCAACGTGCAGAACGAGGTTACTCAGTGGTTAGAGGAGTATTGGGTGTTTGGCAGATGCCTGTTTTGGCTCTCTGGAAATAGCCATGGGAGATAGCAGAGGCTCCAGCAGCAGACATAACTGGCTTGAAATTCTCCCCCTTATGTAGTTAGAGGCAGGTTTCTTAGCCTAGCTAAGCCTTAGAGCCATCAAACTCAAAGTAGATGTAAAATAGCTACCTGTATAGATGAGGTGCCTGAAGCATAGTTGGCCCTCAGGTCAGCTTCCTGTCCTCTCCCTCCCTACATCTCCAGGATGTCCCCCCAAGTTCTTTGCTCCTTCTTGGATTTTTTTTTTTTTAGGTGATTCTAGCACCTGCTACTGAAGGAGGCATGTCGTCCGTGCTGCAAGACCGTGAGTACCACTGTGGGGCAAGGGGGCCTGGGAGACAGTCCTGGGTAGTGCAGGAGGCCAGACCTTTGTTTGGTCTGGAGCTCCCCTGATCCGTCAGCAACCTTGCTGGCTACCTAGCTGCCGCTCTCCCTGCCCAGGGCTGTGCACCGATCAGTGTCTGCTGATGATGCAGGAAGGCATGACGATGCGCAAGGTGAGGTCCAAAAGCTGGAAGAAGCTAAGACACTTCAAACTCCAGAATGATGGCATGACAGTCTGGCATACACGGCAGTATGGTGGCAACGCTAAGCCCAGCTGTGAGTGACCTGGATGGCTAGGAGTGAGCCTGTGGGTGGGTAGAGCCCCGAGGAATCCTGAAATCTGTGTTTTGGAGTTGTCCCCCTTGTGGCTTGATCTGAACGGGGAGACTGTTGTGAAGATCATACTAGTCATTGCATATGTAGGGCCTAGGACAGTCTGGCACACAGTAATTCTCAGGAAATCACAGGTGATAGCTTTTTCCTTTTTTAAAAAAAAGATTTATTTTTATTTTTATTACAAAGTCAGATATACAAAGAGGAGGAGAGATAGAGAAGATCTTCCATCCAATGATTCAACCCCCCAAGAGACCGCAACAGCCGGTGCTGCGCCGATCCAAAGCCAGGATCCAGGAACCTCTTCCGGGTCTCCCACACGGGTACAGGGTCCCAAAGCTTTGGGCCATGCTCGACTGCTTTCCCAGGCAAAAAGCAGGGAGCTGGATGGGAAGTGGGGGCTGCCAGGATTAGAACCGGCACCCATATGGGATCCTGGTGGGCATCCAAGGCGAGGACTTTAGCCACTTGGCTGCGCTGCCAGTCCCAGCTTATTCCTTTTATAGTAAATTCATGATCACAGGCATCAATCTGCTTACAGCCCCAACTCTGCCACTTTCTTTCATTCTCCGTTTCCTTTTTCTTTTTTTTTTTTTTTTAAATATTTATTTATTTATTTGAAATAAAGAGAGGCAATCTACCTATCATCTGCTGGTTCACTCTCCAAATGGCAATAACAGCCAGGGCCAGGCCAGGCTGAAGCCAGGAGCTTCATCTGTGTTTCCTATGAGGGAACAGGGGCCCAAGGAATTGAGCCATCCTTTACGGCTTTCCAGGGCTCATTAGCTAGGAACTGGATGGGAAGTGGAGCTGTCAGGACATGAACTGGTGCTCAAATGTAATGCCAGCCCTCTAGTTAGTGGCTTTCCTTACTACACCACAGTGCCAGCCTTGGCTCTGCTACTTTCTAGCTGAGAGGCTTTCAACAAGTTACCTACTTGAGCTTGTTTCCTCATTTGCAGATGGGGGTAGAACACTGCCTGTCAGGTAGACCATAGAGTCTCAGTGGGTACATGTATAAAGCACATAGCATGGGATCTGAAGCCCAGCTGCACTTAACAGCTGTTAGCCATCATCTTGAGTATTGTTGATTCATGACAATGTACATCCTAGTGGCCAGATGACAGTACTCCTAGAAATCTGGCCACAAGATTCATCTCAGGGCCATAATCAAAGCTCCCAACTCACATGCCCTCTGACTAAGGTCAGCAGAAAAATTGATTGTTATGACTCCTGCCTAGATGCCTGGAAAGAGGAAGCCTGCGAAGCTAGCGAGGAAGAATTGCAGTTGGGTGCATGCTGCTTTGGTACAATTGCTTCTGGCCTTCCAGTGATTTTCCACTTGTTATCCTGTGAGGAACACCAGGACTGGTTATGGAAAGTGAACATCCGTTACTTATGATGAGGACACTAAAAGGAGAAGTTGATTCAGTCTGTGTCACATTGCTTGGGTTTAGCTAGAATCCGGGTCTTGTCACAGATCCTTTGCTATGTTGTTTAGGAAGGCAGCATGTTTCCTTCAACTCATCCTTTTTGGGATCCAACTTGCAGAGGCTAAGGTTCCTCCTCCCTGTGGCTTTGTGGAGAAGGGGTGTTCATCCTCAGTCCTTGACTCCTGCCCCACAGAAGACTCCCTCCACACTTCCACCTGCTTCCTCTCTGCAGTCTCCATCTCGGATGTGGAGACGGTGCGCAAGGGCCATGACTCAGAGCTGCTGCGCAGCCTGGCAGAGGACTACCCACTGGAGCAAGGCTTCACCATTGTCTTCCGTGGCCGCCGCTCCAACCTGGATGTGGTGGCTGGCAGTCCAGAGGAGGCCCAGGTCTGGATACAAGGGCTGCAGCTGTTGGTGGACATCATTACTAGCATGGATCAACAGGAGCGCCTGGATCAGTATCAGCAGTATGGGAGCCGGGTGTGGGCTTGGAACGAATGGGATTGGGCTGTCACTTAAAGAACCAAATGTTGTAGCATTAGAGAAGGTGGGAAGAGGTGATGTGTGATTTCCAAAGGCTGATGTGTGATTAAGCATTCTGAAAGGGAGGAATGGAGACTAGCAAGGGCAGGGATGTGGCCAGGTAGCACTGGGCACGAATCAAGAGCTCCCAGACAGGAAGAAGGGACAGTCAGGGTCAGAGACCAACAAGATGCTGCTCCTAAGAGCTGAACAGAAGATGCCAGGGAATGCTGATGATCATAGAGATTGGAAGCAACCCCTTGGAGGGCTCAGTGGTTTGCTCACTTCAAGATTCGAAGATTATATACTGGCTGACTCATTCATTCCTCACACATTACACAGAATGAATCAGGCAGCATTCCTGGCTTTCAGGTTGCAAAGGCCCATAAGACTGGGATACTGCTTCCTGGAGAGGAGAGCAACTATACAAATAAAGCCATAGAAGTGGATTTCCTGCAGGCACTGGAACAATGTCATGACAAGATAAACTTGTGCTCTGGAGGGATTATTCTAGAAGCTGTATAGAGAAGGAGTTGGTATGGTGGGGAGACTGGCAGCCAAAACAGGAGAGATGTACATTGATGAATGTGCACATACATGTATACACACACACACACACACACACATGCACACACATAGCTTTTGCCTTAACTCAGATCCAGATGGCTGAATGACTGGTTCCAGCGTGGAGACAGAAACCAGGATGGTAGAATGACTTTCCAAGAAGTCCAACGCTTGCTGCACCTGATGAATGTGGAAATGAACCAAGAATATGCCCTCAGTCTTTTTGAGGTGAGTCATTTGGGTCAGGATCTGCAGAGGCCAGCCAGGCACATATTCAGTTGAGCAGAAATCAGTCAGCAGCACACATTTGTCAAATTCCTGCCTTGTGCCCTAAAACCCTGGACAACTCAGTAAAAAATACAGGACATAATTCTTGCTCCTTTGACTTGTGGGGAAAAGGAGGTGAAATCCCATCAATGGTAACTCACCACTATGTTGGACCAGAAGGACTTACCTGTCCTTGGTCAGAATTTCACATGTGCCTAGTACAAAAACCATCTGGAATGTGAAGGATCTTCTTATCATTTGAGGACATTTGGGAAAATTTTTTGGAAGTATTTATTTGTTTACTTATTCAAAGACCCATTAATTTACCTTAAAGGCACACACACACAAGTGGAGATGTTCTTCATCCAGAGTCCTGTTCCCTAGGTATCTTGTGTCAGGCCCACAACTTTCTCTGGATTGCCCATGTGGGTGGCAGGGTTCCTAATACCTGAGCCATCATATGATGCCTCCCAGGTTACATTAACAGGAAGCTAGATTAGAAGAGGAATAGCTAGAACTCGAACCACATTCTGAGATGGAATGGGGGCATCCCAAATGATGGATGGCTTAACCTTCTGTACTACCACACATATCCCTGGGGGATTTTTTAAAGGTTTAATTTATTTTCATTTCATTTTAGGGGCAGAGAGGGAAAGATACAGAGAGAGAGAGAGAGAGAGAGAGAGAGAGAGAGAGAGCATCCACTGGTCTGTTTCCCTGATGTGCCAACAGCCAGAACTAGGCTAAGCCAAAGCTAAGAGCCTGGAGTTCCATCTGAAACTTCCACTGTAGTGACAAGAACGAAGGACTTGAGCCACCTGCTGCCTCCCAGGAAGTCCATTAGCAGGAAACTGGATTAGAAGCAGTGGAGTCAGCACTCAACACAGGCAGTGAGAAGCAGCATTTTAACTACTGTGCCAAACACCTGCCCCTAACTTGGGAGGTCCCATCCTTTTGGGTTGAGAATCTTTACTAGCAACGGTCTTGGCTGATATTTTTGTCTTTGACTTACTGAAGTGGTTTCTTTAATGAACATTGTTAGATCTTTGGAGTTGGGTAGAACTTATTTTGATTATCAGTAAGATCACTCTCATGGTGCAAGTCAAGGTTGTGAAATTTCTCAGTAAAAGATTTGTCCACCCTGCTCTAAACCTTGTCTTACAGGCAGCAGACACATCCCGCTCAGGGACCCTGGAAGGAGAAGAATTCGTAGAGTTTTATAAAGCATTGACTAAGCGTTCTGAAGTGCAGGAACTGTTTGAAAACTTTTCAGCTGATGGGCAGAAGCTGACACTGCTGGAATTTGTAGATTTCCTCCGGGAGGACCAGAAAGAAAGAGACCACGCCACCGACCTTGCCCTGAAACTCATCGACCGCTATGAGCCTTCTGACAGTGGTAAGGGAAACTGGTGGAAAGGCATCTTGTGGAGGAAACAGCCATGACTGTAAAAGTCCAAACAAGCAGCTTCGTACCCAAAGGGAAGGCAGAGTCCCCTGGCCCTGGTCTCCTGCCCAATCATCTCATTTAACCACTTCTCCCAGAGGAGAGCAGCTATTCTCTGCCCAAATAAGACTGGGGCCTCCTCTGTGTTGCTAAATCTCGTGGAAGAAATGATTCCACAGAACCCTCCTCCCCTGTGCTCATGCACTGTCGCTGTCCCGCGGCGATGGACTTGGTGCACGGAGCCGATAATAACACGTGTGGACTACTGACTGATGGTCAATAGTCGACGTTTATTAGTGGCATCAGACTTCATACACTGAGGGTCATATGGGATAAGGGAGAAAGTATCGAGCTTATCAACAAAACCCATCCACTGTTTCTATACTGTTCGTTGGAACCTTTTGTTTTGTATGTTCTACCACGTGTTCTCATTCACTTGCTGTCCACTCAAGTGTTCTCATATAACTGCTATCCAATCAGTTATACGAAAGGCATCCATTTGCTTGTTATCATACAAATACTATCCAATCACTTTGTAATCCTGTGCTCACTGACCTTCTAGGGTCACAATGTCCTCCTAAATGCACCATATCATTCACTTTCAGGAAGTTCTCCCTGATAGCAACTTTGTCCTCCGTGGAAATAAAACTCTTGGTGCTCTTGCTTTGGCTCTTCTGGACAAAGCATTCCATTTCCTCTGGCTCCCCTTCTTGGCCTGTTTGCTTAGGTGCTGGCTCTCTGTGCCTGCCCAGGCTTTCAGCAAACCCTGCAAGTGGCTCTGGGAGTTTCTAGTCTGCAGAGCAGGAAGGTGGTCAGTCCCTGGCTAGCAGGGATGAAGAGGAAGCCAATTACTATTACTTTTTAATACATTTGCATATTTATTTGAAAACCAGGGTGAGAAGGAGAGAGAGAATCTTCCATCTTCTTGTTGACTCCCAAGTGGCAGCAACAGCTAGGTTGGATTAGGCTGAAGCCAGGAGCCAGGAGCTTCATCTGAATCTCCCAAGGGGTATCAAGGACACAAGCACGTGGGCCAGAAGGGAGCTTGATCAGAAATAAAGCATTCAGGAATCCAACTGGCACCCATATGAGCTGCTAACACTGCTGTGCCACAGCACTGGTTGCAAACCAGTCAATTAATTTCTTTTAAGATTTATTCATTTTTATTACAAAGCCAGACACACAGAGAGGAGGAGAAATAGAGAGGAAGATGTTCCGTCCGATGATTCACTCCCCAAATGAGCTACAACGACTGGTGCTGCACCAATCCAAAGCCAGGAGCCAGGAACCTCTCCCAGGTCTCCCACACGGGTGTAGGATCCTAAAGCATTGAGCCGTCCTCGACTGCCTTCCCAGGCCACAAGCAGGGAGCTGGATGGGAAGTAGAGCTGCCGGGATTAGAACCGGTGCCCATATGGGATCCTGGTGCACTCAAGGTGAGGACTTTAGCCGCTAGGCCACGCGGGGCACAATTTTTTTTTAAAATTTCTTTATTTTTGACAATCTTTACATGGTTAGTTAGGGCACAAATGTTTGAGGGCTACAGGAAAGTGGGTAAGACTATTATTTCCACATTCTCTTTTTTTCTGTATCTGGGATAAAAAGGAAGATAAAGGGAGAAGCCCCACCCAGCCTCCCACCCATCTCAGGTCCCTGATGTAGGGCATGCTCCGAGGGTCTTGCTCAAGTGGTTTTGATAGTTCAACACTTATGAATTGCTGCCAATCTTGCCATTCCAAACACGATGAAGTCATTGCAGAATCTACTGATTGACATAGTCCATCTTAGAGGCTCGGTTTGCCCAGTTTTTCACTGCCAACATATGACTGGGGTAGTTGATTGATTAGTTCTGTTCTCTGTTGTGGTGTCAGGTATCCTCTGCAGGTTCTGACAGACTGCCATATCCTCCATGTGCACCTGATTATGCTGTCCACTGCGCCGTCTGAGCCTCTGAGGAGGCTCGGCTCTGGCGTTTGCACTCGATGGCAGATCATTGGAGCTTTTACTTCTCTTCATGGTTAGGGTTCCGAGTCCGGCAGTTTGACTGGGGAGATCCCCAAAGAAACTTTGTCTGAGGTGTTTCCAGACCAGATTCTTGTATGTACTAGTGAGCACAGGGCCCAGCACAGTCCATTCCCACAATCAGCTGGTGGTTGCAGTTGCTGGGTTGGTTCTGTTTCCAGCTCTGTCTTCCACTGGAACCAATGGGTGTTGCAGTCCAGCCTGATGCTGTCCAGCACACACTCGGCCTTCATACAAATCAATGGGAGCTGCAGCCTAGTTGGAGTGACCCACAATAACCCCCACCAGGCCCTCCCCTGCCCTAGTTCCCATGCTTACCAGTATGTACAGCAGACTAGTCCAGTCTGTCCCACATCCCATTCAGCTCTCATACATGTCAATGGGCATTGAAGCCTAGTTCAACCCAACCAGCTCCACTATCCAGCCCACACACATGCTGGTGGGTGCCATTCTGTCCAGGTACCCCTGCCCCAGTCCTGATTTTCATGCTCTCCAGTGGGAGTGGTAACTCAAGAGGGAGGTGCCTACTATTTCCCTCCTAGGCCACTGCCACTCCCAGATCATGCACTTTCCAGATGGTTCTGTAGTTTACTTTGACAGATTAGCCACTGGTGCCAACATCTGCTATCTGATGCTGTGGCAAAGCCTGACCAACTCTCACCCATTCTTTATGCTTTATGTTTGCACCAGTAGGGACAGTCAGCCAAACCTGGCTTTTCCCTGATCTGAAAAGCCAGTCAATTAATGTTTAACAAGGGCAGCCTAAGGCCCAGCATGGTAGCTAAAGTCCTGGCCTTTCATGCACCAGGATCCCATATGGGCACTGGTTCATGTCTCGGCTGTTCTACTACCCTTGCAGCTCCTGTTTGTAGCCTAGGAAAGCTGTAGAGGATGGCCCAAACCCTTGGCACCCTGCACCCAGAAAGAAGCTCCTGGCTGCTGGCTTTGGATGAGCTCGACTCTGGCTGTTGCGGCCACTTGGGGAATGAACCAGAAGATGGAAGATCTTTCTCTGTATCTCCTCTCTGTAAATCTGACTTTCCAATGAAAATAAATAAATCTTCAAAAAAAAAAAAAAAGAAAAAAAGAAAAAAATAAACAGGGGCAGCTGAAATAGGTGCTTTTGGGATCAACCTGTGGCAAAGTGGATAAAACCACCGCTTGTGACACCAGCATCCTATACAGGTGCTGTCTCTAGTCCTCACTGCTCTACTTCCAGTCCAGCTGTTGCAGCAATCTAGGGAATGAAACTACAAATGGAATCTCTCTCTCTTCTCTCTTTCTCTTTCTCTCTCTCTCTAGTCTGAATTTAATTTTTTTAAAGATTTATTTATTTTGGGGGCCTGGCGGCGTGGCCTAGCAGCTAAAGCCCTCGCCTTGAACACACCAGGATCCCATATGTGCCCCGGTTCTAATCCCGGCAGCTCCACTTCCCATCCAGCTCCCAGCTTGTGGCCTGGGAAAGCAGTTGAGGACAGCCCAAAGCCTTGGGACCCTGCACCCATGTGGGATACCAGGAAGAAGCTCCTGGCTCCTGGCTTCAGATCAGCATAGCATTGGCTGTTGCAGCTCACTTGGAGAGTGAATCATCGGATGGGGACAGAGAGGAAGGGAGACAGAGAGGAAGATCTTCCATCTGATGGTTCATTCCCCAAGTGACCACAATGGCTGGAGCTGAACCAATTCAGAGCCAGGAGCCAGGAGCTCTTCTGGGTTTCCCACATGGGTGCAGGGTCCCAAAGTTTTGAGTTGTCCTCAACTGCTTTCCCAGGCTACAAGCAGGGAGCTGGATAGGAAGCGGGCCTCCAGGATTAGAACTGGCGCTCATATGGAATCCTGGCGCGTGCAAGGCGAGGACTTTAACCACTATGCTATCGCACCGGACCCTCTGAGTTTAATTTAAAAGAAAGATTTATTTATTTTATTTGAAAGGCAAATATACAGAGAGGAGGGAGACAGACAGAAAGATCTTCCATCCTATGGTTTACTCCTCAAGTGAACACAATGACCAGTGCTGCGCCGATCTGAAACCAGGAGCCAGGAGCTTCTTCTGGGTCTCCTACGCAGGTCTAGGGTCCCAAAGTTTTGGGCTGTCCTCAACTGCTTTCCCAGACAGGGAGCTGGATGGGAAGTGGGGTTGCCAGGATCAGAACCAGTGCTCATATGGGATCCTGGCACATTCAAGCTGAGAACTTTAACTGCTACACTATCACTTCTGGGGCCTGAGTTTAATTTTTTTAGAATTTTAAAAACAGAATAAAATAGGTGCTCTTAGTCCTCAAACTTCCCTTTTCTTTGCTCTTACAACAGACTTGTTTGTACCTTCCAAACATTTCAGGTTATAAGAAATTTTCATGAACAGTAAAGGGCTTACTAGGTACTTTCCCATTCTTCACTTAATTTAATTCTCACTACCATCTTGTAAATAAGCAGCAATAATTGTTATTGGATCTTTGCTAAATATTCTGTAATGCTTATCTCTCAGTCTCTATATACCTTTATTTTTTCCTTTTAATCTTCCCAATGACCATTAAAATGAGTCCTGTTATTAAGTCAGATGTATAAAAGGGGAAGACTGAGGTTTAGAAAGGTTAAGTGACCTGCCCAAAGCAAACAGCCAATGTGAAATGGAATTGGGATTCAGACCTAGGTCACTTCTTAACAGGTACTAACAGGTATTTGTCCTGAAAATGAGAACAAAAAGGGTGTGCTTGAGCGCTGGACTCATTCATTCATTCATCCATGACTTCAGCTGCTTGCTTAGTGACTTAATGTGTCAGGACCTTTGTGGGGCACTAGAGATACAATAGTGCCAAGGTCAGATAAGGACACTGACCTCATTAAACCTGGAATCAAACAGAAAAGTTTGTAATCAGTGGATTCATTATCTGTATGGTTGTTTAGAGGAGATTGGGACTGTGAAGCAATCA